GGCCTGACAAATAACATGAGACAACATATATAAAGGTCTTAGACACTGCCTGCACACAGTAAATGTAAACTGTTAATGGGATAGGAGAGGAATGATCAGTCTGCTTAAGTGATGTATGTTGTGGGTGGTGGGCAGTTGGGGAGGGCTTCATGGAATCAGAGGCCCTTGATTCATTTCTCTTTTTCAGTAAAGAATTATATACTGACTGTGGAATCCAGGCCACATGCTCTTCTAAGCATTGAGGATAAAAGAGAATACAGTAAATATTGTTACTCTTGAGCATATATTTTAGTCCAGGAGATGAACAATAAAAATTAACACACACACACAAAACCCTAAATAATAGAATTTCAGTAAGTAGTAAGTGTTATAAAGAAAATAAAGTAGGCTAACGTCATAGACAGTGACCAGGTTGTCTACTATGGTATTTTCCACAGGATCTCAAGGAAAGCCTCTCTGAGGAGAAGATATCAAGCAGAAATCTAAATGATGTGATTGAGGCTTCTCAAGTTCTAGTGGGAGATTTTTACAGAAATAGGGATGGAATTTGGCAGGTGTGGGAACAGCAGGAAGGCAGTTTGGATGGATAGGGAGGAGCCAGATTCCAGGGTACTGGGCACTGGTAAATGCTAGGATATCATACTAAATGTTGGAAGCTCCTGGAAGGTTTGAAACAGAACTTTTTTCAAGTTATATCCAAGAGTCATTTGGTTCAATCTGCTCTATCTTCTAAATTTATATTTCTATTTCCCACAATAACTGATTTACAAGATGATAACCATGAGACATCACAGTGTTCTGAACATCATCAGGAAAGGTTCCATAATGTCCACTGCCATGGTGCTTTCTAAGGCAGGAAAAAATACTAAGACTTCTCCAAAATATAATCTGCAACAATGATTGAAATATACAGAGGATCTAGTTAACCTCAGTATTTATTTTTTTTAAACTGGGATATTACCTAAGAATCCTTATTAAGCCAGAATTTATAAAATCCTTTTTGCAGAGTACCTGAGAGGTTGAATGCACTATCAACATGGTGACTCATTCCTTACGTTTCATTTATGAACCGCAGCAAAGAAGAAATTCCCATGAGAAGCACTGCTGTGACAGTTTACTATCCTTCCCTCAGCTTAAAAGACTAACATCAGATTCCACATTTTTCTCTGAACAGTGAACTACAACATTTTGAAGGATGTCTGTGTCATCTACACCCTCCAAAATACCTTGACTTTTATTTTAAGCATTTAAGCGAGTCAGAAGGCACAGTTATAACCTTATAACTGGTATCAGTTAGTACAGTTTAAATTATGTGGCATAACAAACAATGCCCATCTTGGCTCTTGCTCATGGTCAGCACATCTGAATTAGAAATCTGGAGCTCAAAAAACCAGGTAATTGAATGTTCTAACATTTTTTTGATAATTCCATTTTAATACCAGGCTTAGAGGTTTGCATGGCAGAAAAGAATTGGAGAATTAAGGTCAAGTAATTAAGTGCTTTATTGAAGGAGATATTTCCACTTACATTTCACTGGCCAGAACCAATCACTGGTCACACCTAACTTCCAGTAGAAAGGAAAGCATAATTATCTGTGTACTAATAAATGAAAATAAACAATTATTGGGCAACACTAATGGTATCTACCATCTAGTATATTCCGATGATACCATTTGCCAATATTTGGGACATAATAAATGCCTTTTTAATTCTGTTTAAATTTTTTTCACAACAAAAATGATGTTCAGTTTTAAAATATATTCATTTCTTCTCTATATATAACCTCTATATTATATAATCTTTATGCTTTTGATGATTAACATTTTTAGTGCTTATACTTCAGTCAATTACTATAGGACAAAAGCTTTTAAATGACTATACTTACATTTTATAAGTAAGACTATTAATATTTTTATGTTACAGATGAGAACATTTATTTTTAGAAAGACTAATTAATTTGAACAAAGACTTACAGCCAGAAAGAGGCAGAGCAGGATTTGAACCCAAGCCTATTAAATGTATAATTAGTATCTAATATAGATTCCCTAGTTTAGATTTTAACCCACCTTCTAAGGTTCAGATCAATTTTTACATCTTCTATAAGGCTCTTAAACCTTTAGCCCTCAATGATCAATCTATTCCCTCAGCTGTTCAAATGCTTGTTTACATAAACATTTAGCTTTATCTATGCCAACACTTTTACACCGAATTTTATTAAATTAAACTGAATCCAATAGTGGCGAATATGTTAATTAAATTAATTATAAATCAGGTTCTTTGCTTTCAACACTAATGTATTACAAGATTATGTGTATTTGCTTATTTATTTGTAGAAGAGCTGCCATTCTTTTCTTCAGTAAGTTCCATTCTCTCCATGAGATAATTAGATGCAGCAGAATCACCCACCAAAGAATTTCATATATGACCCCCTGTGTGTATGGGCACAAATATTAAGGTACAGATATTAGTCAAAATATACTCAGTACCCTAAAAGCACCTGAGTTCAAAATGAAACGGCAGCATGAACCCCAGGAAAGTGAAACCCCAGCACTGAGTTGAGCTGCTAGTGCCTCGTTTCCAAGGACCCTTACCTTAACTCCACTTCAGCCAGCCACTCCCACAGCCACCTGTGCACTTGTCATCACCAGGACATGTCTACTTCTGAATTCATGAGTGCAGACATCCCACTATCTGAACATAATCTCTTACCAACTCGGACCTCTAGCGGTTACTCCTCCACCCTTGTCCGTGTAATTTATGGATACTTCCAAATCTTGACCCCTCTCCTTTCCTCCTGTCTATCATCAACTTTCTCTTTTTACTTTCTTTCCATCTGGCTTATATTTCGTGATCCACTATTCAAGTTGCATTAATTTCATATGAATCTCACAGGAAATCTTAACTCAACAGGTCCACAGCTGAAATCACCTTTATTACCCAAACCCACTCTCTTTCCTGTGTTCTAGCAAATGACCTTACCGTCCATTCTGTTGTCCTGACCAGAAACCCAAGTGCCATTTCTGAAACTCCCATCTCCCTTGCCTCACACACCTAGTCATTTACCTGTTGATTTTACCTCCTAAGTATCTTTCAAATTCATCTGTTCCTTTTGCTACCACCCCAGCTGTGCTGTAGATCATAGCCTATGTGGATTGCTGCAATAGCTTTTTTAATGGTTTCCCTATTTTCAGCCTTGTCTCCCTCCAGGCAATTCTCCAGATGTCAGTAAGACTGACACCTAAAAAATACAAATCTGCTCATGTTAAATTCCTATGCAAAACCCTATATGATTTCCTATAGCCCTTCTGATCAATTTGAAATTCTTTAGCATGGCTCTCAAGCCCTTTCAAGATTTTGAACAGTTAACTTTATAGGCCAGTGTCCTTCTAATCCACACCACCCACTTAATCAGTAAAATTTACTCCTATTAACTTTCAGTCTCTCTAAATCACAACCATAAAAAGAAGAAATAATCCCAAGGACGTTGTATATTGTTTCCTATAATGAGAAAACTATTTTTCCTTTGTCTGCCTTTTCTACCATCTTGTCCCTAATTATTTCTCCTCCTTAAGACGCTATCATAAGTTTGTTTTCTTTTTAGACCCTTAGGTCTGATTTAGATATCCCTCTCATGTGTTTTATTGCATACTGAATTTCCCTAAGGATTTCACATGGAATTATATTTGCAGATTTTCCTAATCACTCCCTGTGGAATTTGCCCTAAAAATGGTCCCAACATTCCATGCTTCTATTCCAATAAACTTTCCGTTTAACCATCCTCATCTATTTTTATATTTCTAGATGAAATTTCTTGTGCTACCTGCAAACCCATTTTCTGAAATAGTGTTTAAAGGTACTTTAAATATCTCAGATCCCATAGGAAATATATAAATTTAGAGAGTATATACAAAGCATATCTTTGAAGTATATTTCCTCTACAAAAAATACAAAAATGACAGAATCAGAAAATAAAGTTCTTTCTCCAATTACAGGTAGCCAAATATGTCATAGAATTGCAAGTGCTGTTAAGGTTCAAATTATGCATTTTTATTAAAAAGGGTTAATGGGATTTTATACTAAGTTATAAAGTCACGTGGACAACATTTTTAAGTTTCTATTTTACTGTCAATGACATCCATTTTAATTTTGCTTAGCTGAGAAATTGAAACAAAAAGGAAAGTTTTTTTTTTTCTAATTGTTCACATTGCAAAGTTTAGATTATGAAAAATCAAGCTGTGTTCTCTCTGGTTCAATATCACCTCAAGTAATAAAGTTTCTGCAATTAGCACTTTACTGACAGTTCGGCTGATGATGCATGAGGCAGGGTGAAGCCAGCTCACTCTTCCATAGCTGTAATATCACAGCATAGCTAAGGGAAGTGTAAATTTTAAAAGAAAAGCCAGCGGATATCTTGAAAACACCAGAGAGCTAATATGCTGAATAAGAAGGTGACATTTTTTACGTAGTTAACTTTTCTGAGTACATCGAAACCATGGCTGCAACTCATGGTTATCAGCATTTTATTCTTAGCTCATGGAGCTTAAATCTTTTGGGTTCTTACAACTGCAAATACAATTACCATTTTGTGATTTGTAATTTATATGTGCTTCATAATTGTCTCCAAATTAACCTGGATCAATTTAACTAAAATTAAAATACTTCCTAAAGTTTGTACCACCTCTATTAAACTGGGCTACTGAAAAACAAATTTGTTTTCTTTCCTAACACTACTTGGAGGCAAAATAATCCTGCGCATATGAAACCAATGCAACAGAATATATTCTTAAATGTAAACTAGAAAGCTCTGTGATAAATATTTGAAAATTAACTATTTTTACTCATGCTTTACTGACCTAATTTTAATCTACAAATGTTACCATAAAAACTCTGTAAAATTCATTCCACATTAAGACAGTCTCTTAACAGTTCCCCAATTTATTTTTACTCTAGATTAGTTGTCTTTTATGCATCTACCCATAACACTGTATTATAAAACTTACCTCACTGAAATACAGGTGGTCCTGGAATTTCTTTTGACTTTCAGACTCTCTTCTTTTCCTTTATTATACACCTGCAAAATTGACTTTCATACTCCAGAGAGGACCTTTATGTGAAGTCATGATGAATTTGAAACATCCTATGGCTCTGCCGGCCAGCCAACGGTTCAGCTGGCTCTTTTTGGGATTCATTTATGTTGAAGTGCAAAGCTTCATGGTTGCATAATATTCTCGAAAGCATATATAGCATTAATCCACCTTTTTTAAACTTCCTCTAAAATTAAGGACAATACACCTACTAGAAAAAGATCTTCAAATTTAAGCAGACTCCATGGCAAAGGGTGGAAATATTATGCTCAGGAACTTAGTGTAGTGTGTATTGCACCGCAGTCACAAGAAAGCCACTTGAAGTTGGTTTGGCAAGTTTTAGTACTTTGCTGTTCTAAGGTCTTCCCAACATGAGTGCCGATATGTTTCTTCCCTTTTAGCCAGAGAAATATGTCAGGCTTTGAGAGCTGTGAAAAGTATTTGAAAATTGACTATTTTTACTCATGCTTTGCTAACCTATTTTTAATTTACATGCATTATTGCAAGAACTCTTTTTTATAATTCACTCCAAAATATTCACTCCAAGAATTCCGTTCACTTCTCTTTTTTTGTCTAGCTATTTTCAATGCCTATTCAAGAAAGGCTGCTGAAAATCACTAATCATTGCTATGCCCTACACTGTCCAACACACATATCATAGTAGGCAATTGCTTAGCTTCGCAGCTTCAATTTCTAAAAATAAATGTGTGTACCACTTTATCCATTTTTGAAAGTTCAAATTGCAAATATACTCTTTTAACTTAGAAAGAGCTTATCTTTTCTGCTTCTTAGTAAACGTTTCTTATAGCTAGCTAAGAATAAACTTTAAATAGAAGTTCAATTTTGATACAGTTTTCTAGACATTAGGTTAGAAGATTCTTTTACATTTATTTTTACTGTTCTAATGGGCTTTAATATGAAACAATTCTTTGAAAAACTTTGATATATTAATAAAAGAGGGAAATTATTATATGCATACCCAATATTCTGTTCTGAGCAACACCTAAACAAATCTTTGGAGAAAGAGAGGTTTTCTATTTATTATCTCTTATGTTACAAAAGTATTCTTAAAATACCTTTATTTCATATATCAATTAAAATTGCTTTGTAGTAGTATTGTATATTATCTGGATTACTCAGCCAACAAGTATTTTTGCAGTACACAATTACGTTACGGAGACTGGGTTATACACGAATCTTTCTAATGGTTATATATAAAGCACTTGAAGTCTCTATTATTTTATAATAGGCAATACCTAGATGAATAATGAATTGAACTCATCTTTCTTATGTGACTCTAAAGGTCAAACCATACCACCTGAATATTTTTATCCTCTATGAATATTTCCATTTAAGAGTTTATTTAAAAGAATTTTTAAATCTTCTCATTATGTCTTAACAGCATGATATCACACTCTCCTTTTTGACTTCGCCATTTGATATGGAATAAAATTGCATCATATGGCCAAGGCGTATACACTTAAAGTCTTCAATTTAGAAGCTTTCCAGAATCAAACTGAGTCAATCTCTGCTTTAGAAGTCTCCCACAAGAAGGATCCTACATAAATTACTGTGTGTTTAAAGGTTTCTGATTTTAATCTAATAACTGAAATATCAAAACTATATTTTAATTCAGGCATTTGGGCATCGCTACCAGGTGTTCTCATCAGATTTAGGAACCCTGCAGCAAGATTTATCAGTGTCGAAATGCTAAAATTCTAAATTTAGTGCCAGAATCCCTCTCAAATGGCATTTGTATTTTGATAGCTTAACCTACTTTGAATCCCCTGAGCATCTTGTCTGTTTTTATTGGTAGATTTTGCTGATCTTCTTTAACTTTTCAAAGGCTCTTTAAATTATCCTAAAGTCATATATTTACCATGAGAAAGCAGGTGTCTTTTTAGAGTGTAGATGCTTAAGTCGCTCATAAAATTAATTTCCTCGGGTTAGGAGAACGTTTTTTGCAACTCTAATTTGAAAAACTCTAATCTGGCTTCTAAAAGCACTGTATAAGTATTCAGAAATAATAAAAATGGAGACATAACAACATAATAAATTTAATTTAACCTAAGCATAGCAAAAGAGGAGGGCATTTTTGCATAATCACCTAGATGGTTTTCAAAGGCAAACACAGAGCAATGCAGACTTTGTTTGGAGAGAGCCATAGTTTCAAGAAATGGGTATTGCCTTGATGAAGCTACCCTTCCGTGTCTCTGCAGCTCCGTCTCCTGCTATCACCAGCTCTTTGTAACATTGCCTATGCTGTGGACACACAGAGATACTTGACAGTCAGTGGATGAACTCAATAAATGTTATTATTTTTAAATACGCAGCTTACTAAACAGATAAATAATCTTAAAATTGAGACTGTTCCAGAAACCAGAATGTTTTCTCATACTCACAGCTTTTGTAGTTTAGGTACATTTATATAATTAGAATGCAATAAAATACATTAAATAGTAAAATCATACTGTATATAATTTAATCTCTGGGGATCCAGAGGACACTTTAAGCTGTTACAGTTTCTCAGAGTCAATATTATGTACTTTATAATTTTTTATTCTACTGGTAAAACTTGGTGATATTGATTAACAGAGATTTTAGTAGATATAATATTGTATAAACTGATTTGATTATGTCTTTTGTTAATACTGAGATAACCAGAATATAGAGAGGCTTCTATATATACACATATATTCTATGTCTTCCTAGCTAGACTTGAAGTATCTCACTTTAATGTTTCTAAAAATAAAGTGAGCACTTTGTTTTTTTAATATTTTATTTATGTATGTATTTATTCATTTATTTTTGAGATGCAGTCTTGCTGTGTCATCCAGGCTGGAGTGCAGTGGTGCAATCTCAGCACACTGCAACCTCTGCCTCCCCGGTTCAAGTGATTCTCCTGCCTCACCCTCCTGAGTAGCTGGGATTATAGGCCACCACCACCATGCCCGGTTAAGTTTGTGTGTGTGTGTATTTTAGTAGAGACAGGGTCCCTATGTTGCCCAGTCTGGTCTTGAACTCCTGACCTCAGGTGATCTATTTGCCTTGGCTTGCCAAAGTGCTGGGATTACAGGAGTGAGCCACTATGCCCAGCCCACTTTGTCCTTCAATCTCTTCCTTCTCCTTCATTTTGACACCCAGTTTACATCCTTAAATACATAGTCTCGAAACCTCAAAGTATCAGTGTCATCCTTATTTGTTTTTTTCTCCTTCTCTGAATTTGCCTGATAGTCAAAACCTGTGCCTACTACCATTTAAAGATTTTTTTGCATCTGTCTGACTGGATTGCCCACTGTCTCACCAAACCTTGCTTTGACTAGTAACAATGGCAGTTGAGAGTACTGCCTGTCACTTGGCCAGACTTTAGCTAAACGCTGAACATTCGTTATAATATTTAAATCTTTAAAGCAACCTTGGTTTTTATTTTGATTTATGAGATGACTCTAGCAAAGATTAGATTCTGATTCTGGAGAGTTAGATCATGACAGAGTCAGAATTAAAATCTGTTCTTAACTTCTGCACTGTACTCCAACAACAGTGAAACTGTTACTTTCTCATTCAGAGTAAACTCCTGACCAAACCCATTACTGAAAACCTTCCTTTCTTATCTCAACTCCCAGTCTCCACCCCATGTATCTGATACACCTATGACAATGATATTTTCTCCATATCTAGAAAATATCACCAACTTACAGTGCCGTGTTATTGTACAGGCTCTTATTTACTCTTCCTTTCATCACAGTTCTATTCATTTCTCAATACACAGTTGAAGATCAGTTGAAATATCAATTTCAGCATAACTGTCCATACTTTAGGGGCATAATTTAATAGCTTACCAGATAACAGCATATAATGTAGTGACTTGGGAGTCAGACTTCCTGGGTTTGAATACTGGATAAAAATTTACCAGTCTTTTGACCTTGGGAAAGTTACTGAATCTTCCTATACACCAGTTTCCTCATATGTGAAATGAGGCAAATTATAGCACCTACCTCTTAGGGTTGCTATGAGCCTGAAATCAGTGAATACAAGACCTTAGAACAGCACCTGGCACATTTTAAGCAATGTCTAAAGGTTCATTGCTATGATTTAATCATTTCCACATCTCATTCCTAAAATAAAAGGTGTTATAAAATTGTAAGTATAATTAGAAAAAAATGGAAAAATGTTTTAAAGAAAAATTATAAACAAATTTGAAGAAAATGTAGAATAATACCTGTATATTCGAGGAAGAAATCTCTTAAGCATATAGAAAATTAAGAAACTATGAAACACATGATAAACATAGTTGACTATATACATAAACTTTAATTGCTAATACAGGCATAACTTGTTTTATGCTTTGCTTTATTGCACTTCACAGATATTGCATTGTTTTAGAAATTGAAGTTTCGTGGCAGCCTGCATCAAGCAAATCCATCACCACCATTTTCCCAACAGCATGTGCTCACTTTCTGTCTCTATGTCACATTTGGTAATTCTCACAGTATTTCAAACTTTTAAATTATTATTATATCTGATATGGTGTTCTGTGATCAGTGATCTTTCATGTTACTATGGTCATTGCTTTGAGGCATCACCACTCATGCCCATATAAGATGGCAAACTTAATTGATAAATGTGTATGTTCTGACTACTCCAAAGACTGGCCATTCCCCATCTTCCTCCCCCTCCTCAGGCTACCCTACTCCCTAAGACACAACAATATGTAAACTAGGTCAATTAAAAATCCTACGTAGGCCTCTAAATGTTCAAGTGAAAAGATTAATGAAGAAGGCATGTTGAAAGTTGAGATAGACTAAAGGCTAGGCCTCTTGCGCCAAACATTTAGCAAAGATATGAGTGCAGAGAAAAAATTCTTGCAGGAAATTAAAAGTGCTACTCCAGTGAACACACCAATGATAAGGAAGCAAAACAGGCTTATTCATGATATGGGGAAAGTTTTAGTGGTCTGGATAAAATATCAAACCAGCCACAACATTCTCCTAATCCAAAGCCTAATGCAGAACAAGGTCCTAACTGTCTTCAATTCTGTGAAGGTTGGGAGAGGTGAGGAAGCTTCAGAAGAAGAGTTTGAAGCTAGCAGGAGTTGGCTCATAAGGTTTAAGAAAAGAAGCTGTGTCTGTAATATAAAAGTGCAAGGTGAAACAGCAAGTGCTAGTGTAGAAGCAGGAGTGAATTATCCAGAAGATCTAGCTAAGATAACTGATGAAGATGGCTACAATAAGCAACAGATTTTCAATATAGACAAAACAACCTATATTGAAAGATCATATCATCTAGGACTTTCATAGTAAGAGAGAAGTCAATGTGTGGTTTCAAAGCTTCAAAGGATGGGCTGATGTGATTCTTAGGGGCTAATTCAGCTAGTGATTTCTAATTGAGGCCAATACTTATTTACCATTCCAAATTCCCTAGGACCCTTAAGAGTTGTGCAAAATCTACTCTGCCAATGCTTTATAAACGGAATGACAAAGCCTAGATGATAGCATGGTATACTGAATATTTTAAGCCCAGTGTTAAGACCTACTGCTCAGAAAAAGAGATTTCTCTCAAAATATTATTGCACATTGACAATGAACTTAATCACCCAAGAGCTCTGACAGAGAGGTAGAAGGAGATTAATGTTTTCATGCCTGCTAATAAAACATCAATTGTGCAGCCCATGGATTGAAGAGTAATTTTTACTTTCAAGTCATATTATTTAAGAAATATATTTCATAATGCTATAGTTGTCATAGACAGTGATTTCCCCAATGGATCTGGGCAAGGTACATTGAAAGCCTTCTGGAAAGGATTTACCATTCTAGATGTCATTAAGAACATTTGTGACTCATGAGAACAGGTCAAAAATCAACATTAACAGAAGTCTGGAAGAAGTTACTTCCAACCCTCATAGATGACTTTGAGAAGTTTTAGATTTCAGTGGAGAAAGTCCCTGAGATGTTGCGGAAATAGCAGGAGAACTAGAATTATAAGTAACGCCTGCCTGGGAGGGGAAGGACACCCACGAGGCCTGTTGGGGGATGGGAAGTAAGAGATGGGAGAGCATTAGGACCAATACCTAATGCATGTGGGGCTTAAAACCTAGATGACAGGTTCATAGGTATAGTAAACCACCATGGCACATGTATGCCTATGTAAACAATCCTGCACTTTCTGCACATGTATCCAGGAACTTAAAGTAAAATTAAAAAAAAAAAAAAAGAAAGAAGTAAAGCCTGAAGATATGACGCAAGCACTACAGTCTCATGATAAAATTTTAGCAAATAAAGAGTTGCTTCTTACGGATGAGTAAAGACATAAGTTTCTTGAAATGGAATCTATTCCTGGTGAAGATGCTGTGAACATTATTGAAATTATAACAAAATTTTAGACTATTTGATAAACTTTATCAGCAGCATCAGAATTTGAAAAAATTGACTCCAATTTGAAAGTGGTTCTACTGTGGGTAAAATGCTATCAAACAGCATCGCATGCTACAGAGAAATCTTTTACGAAAGGAAGAGTCAGCAGATGTGGCAGACCTCATTGTTGTCTTATTTTAGAAATTGCCACAGCCACCCCAACCTTCAGCAACCACCACCCTGATCAGTCAGCAGCCATCAATGTCAAGGCAAGTTCCTCCATCAGGAAACAGATCATGACTGGCTTGAAAGTGAAAGTGATCATTAACATTTTTTAAAATAAAACATTTTAATTAAGGTATCTACGTTATTTTTTAGACATAATATTCTTACATAATTAATAGACTACAGGATAGCATAAACATAACTTTTACATGCACTGGAAAACCAAAAGAATCATGTGACCTGCTTTATTGTGATATTTGCTCTATTGTGGTGATCTGGATCCAAATTTGCAGCTTCTGCAAGGTATGCCTGTATAAGGAAAGGCAGCATAAACTAAACTACAATAGAAGTGACAGAGCACAGAGCAAAAGAGTAACTTTTTAACATATATGTTAAATAAAGGTTTAATACACACATCAAATACAGAACTCCTAGAAGTCAATATAATTTAAAAAGCAAACACATAAAATAATAAGCAAAACTCTAAATTTTCAAGATAAATGATATAAAAATGTCCTATACATGTTTAAAAATACTTATTTAAATAACCTGCAATAACTTTGCACCTTAAATGGGGT